GAACGACTATTGTTTCATTAGTAAAATTTTTAGTGATCTTGGGGCAAAATCGATCAACTCCGGCCCTTCCGACCATAATTCCGAAGCTTCCGACCCGGAATTTTGGGAGTACTATTAATGAGTGTGAAAACTTTCTCGACAACAATCCAATAGATTTTGTTAAAAATATTTTTAAATGATTTCTACTAATTCGTTTAATTGATTTAAAACTTTCATCGAATTCATTGGATAGTTGTCAAGAATTTTCGCTTAAAGTTTAAAAAATTTCCGCCGCGCTATATATTGCAAAATTTTCTCGACACTATCTAATTGAATTTGATGATTTTTTTTAAAAAAATAATTTCTGCCAATTCGCAAAATCTATTTAAAAAATTTTTCATAGTATTCTATTGGATAGTTATCGAGAAAATTTAAGAAAATTTCTACTTCGATACATATCATGTGATCGTCGGTACGTGTCCGTAGACAAGGCGGATTTTTGATTGGCTATTTGTCACATGATTTATATATTACACAATGTCCAATGTTCAATACTTTTTTGGTCCAATGGATTGGACTGGACTGGTCCAATGTCCAACAATGTCCATGTATATCACTGTCTATAGTATATACTGTCTTATATATTTTGGATAGTCCAATAGAAAGTGAAAGTTCTCCGGAAGTAAGAACGTTTTCAGATTCTTTTGCGTAGTGAATATTGACGTTATTCTAAAGTTATTAATGGTTTTTGCAATGATTTTTATTAGTAAAACCGCCGTGCTACCAAATAGTGTATAAATAAGTTACCCAGGCAATTGATTTACATTAGCTAATCAGACCTTTGCCTCCCCTGTAGAAACTTTAATCAACAATCCGATTATTCAGTGTTTTCATTCGGATTAAGTAAACGTATTTTCAATTGGATTTGAACTGGACATTCCAACATCATCTGTATTATGTCCAATTAGTCCAATTGACCGATTGTCGAAAAAATACTATTGTTTGTTTTTTGTAAAATTTTGAATATTCGTTGAAAGCATAATAGAAATTTTTAAGGACTAATAATGGACTAATAATTGTAGGTATTGTTTGATTAGTTTTAGGATCCTTGAAACTGTAGCCTCTAAATTACTTAATGGCGTAGATTTTGATGTGACCAAAACAAGAATTTACACGTCCGAACAAATGCTGCTAAAAAAAGAAAAATTGGTTCTGACACCTGAAAGATGGTAATACAGATACAGATGGCAAGTATTAAAAAGGAAATGCAATATAAAATGGCAGACAAATAAATAAGGATTATACTAAACAATATTATTGTATACGTATTAATTTGGAAGGTAATACCTATACTGTCTATATATAACTTTGCTCAAAACGGTCAAAATAGGACCAACTCTATCTATGTCAAATAGTTCACAGGTGACTAATTCATCAAATTAAGTACATTTGGGGAAAGAAAATCAGGAATTTGATCTTGTATACAATTTCATCGCTTAGAAACAATTACGATTCACAAACCACAAGATTTAATATTGTTTTACTAATCATCTTTCGAGTAATATTATACTTTTTACTATAATATAAGAATTGGAGAAAAGTATATTTTACAATAGAGATGATTGAAAAGCAGAGATTGCTATTGTTATGATTTATGAATGGTTAAATTAAACATACGTATGTTTGCATGCGTATTAATATAAACTTATAAGAATATGCTATAAATTTAAAATTGCGTACATGTACTATTATTTGTATATTAATGACTTAAAAAGGGTTTATTGTAAATTATTCTGATGTTAATACAGTATTAACTTTATTGTTTCTTTTAAAATTCAGAATCAACGCCTTATTACTAATACATAAAAGAGTTATACGTCAAGTGAATATTCATTTAAAGTAGCCCATTGATTGATCTATTATCATGCAAGATTTAGTTTACCAAATAACTATAATTTTGAAGCCTTTCTTGGTTAATTTAAAAGGATAACAACTGTATGTGTAATTATAATTTTGGTATTTTACCTCCGTTAAACCAGCAGGAAAAATTAGACTGTATGGCGTCAAGCTTATAAACAATAGTAGTGATATATTTATATATGCATACACATGCTTGCATCTGCTTATCTTCGTATTGTTGATTTTATCTTAGAAACTTGTTTAGAGAGAAGCTTGTTTAGAGAGAAACTTGTTTATAGAGAAACTTGTTTATGGAGAAACTTGTTTACAGAAACTTGAGGTAGTAGAAGCTGTGCAGAATTCATAATAAATAATGACAAGATAGTTCATTGTCATAAAATTACTATTTTGTTTTTTTACGATTTATGTACTACATAATAATTTGCAAATTTAATGATAATTGCGGTAGCAAAACTCTGGGCACTTGGCAATTTACTAATTTTTTCTTTTCTTGATAGAGCTTACTTGCTTATTAATAAACTTTTGGAAAGATTAATATTATTAGGCTTAGTTTTCCGAAATTAATTTTCCAGAAACAGTCTAGATCTTAACAATATCACTAGATTCTTAATTTATACGTATAATCGTGAAATAGCGCCCACTTGAACGCTAATCCGCCCATATGCATTATTCAAATAAAAGGTCAAATTTCTCGGACTGTAAATGTAACCTAATCTGTGAAGTAGCAAATCGTTACTATTCTCATTGTTTTGCCAATTAAGAACATATATGTATGTATACATACATACGTACGTACGTACGTATGTACGGATTTATATAATTGTTTCTATATCTGGTATCTCGGCTATACAGACATATTGTATTATATGTACATCACTTCAAGATTCCCACAGGCGCTATATTGTATGTGCCATTTTTTAAAGGACCCGACTCTCAAAAATAATTTACACAATCGTTATTTCACTCATTTGCTGTCAAGCGTTTTTCTAATAACATATTTTACTGATAGTCAATTTTATTAATAAAGCATTTTCTGAAAAATCTATTCTAACAGCAATAGGAGTCAAACTAGAAAAACCAGTTTGATAATTAATATTCTCACCTGGTCAACCCAATTTAAGTAATCTTTTTCATAAACTTATTTTTATTATACAGTTATACATACAGTATTTAATTTATGTGTTTGAATTGCCCATATCTGATATTTAATCTCTGACATTAAATACAATGCATAAAAACAAGGCTTCATTTAAAATATGCACATGAAATTCATTTTATGTAGAGAGTAGGAAATAAATTAGTTATATCCTGGATAAATATACGCCATTTATTACGTCATTTATGCTTTTACAGCTCCAGAGATATAAGTATTGCATATCGATATGCGATGTATCATAAAACATATTGTCACTATACAGTACTGTGCACCTCATATAGAAGTACCCTGGATACAAAATTGAATCATCATACTGACTGTGTTATATATTTAGCATATAAAATAAACTTATATGTATGTACTGTACGTACGTACGTACGTACATGAGTTATGTAATAATTAATTACGTATCTGGTATCGGTATCAAGTAAATATATTCACATATATATAGTTATTTAGTTTAGTTTCTTACACTATATAGAATTTGAATTTATAATCTATACTATATATATACTATATACAAGGATATTGATATATTACGTGTATTTTAATATGACTGGGGTTACGACTACGTAAATGTTAGGCAATTTCTATCATTTCACGATTGTGGAGCATAATTCTATCACATTTATGCTTCGCTTTAGACGTCCTAGTGCAAGAAATCTCTAAATTCGGATTTTTTTCAATGCACTAATAAATCTCTAAATTCGGATTTTACAAAAAGATGTGATCCAGTTATTTTATCATTATCGTAGAAGACAAAATCTGAATTCTAAATTACATCAATCATCTATTCTATCAGTAACATTACATGTTTATTGAAAATCTATAAAATTCTTAAAATCGCAAATTCTTCGATTTTCATATGACATCGTGATCTGCAGAGAGCGCTCTTTTTGTAAAGCGCAATATTTCTCCATCAAACAAAGAAATTTTCGAATCAATTCCGTCACAACTTTTATATAAGGGATCATATGTCAATCACCAAATTCGCGAATTTTGAAGATCATTAATTTCTGATTTCTGATTTTCTACAATCAAGTAATTTATTATCGATCTGCAAAATTCATTAAATTTTTGCAAATCGCAAAATAAAAAAGCTCTACTTCAGTGTAGAGCTAATCTAAAAACCTTAAAAATCACGACGCAGTTTAATTTGCGGTTGAATTTTTGCAAATCATTAAAAAAAAATTGATTGATAGATTTCTGACATCATATTGCAGTACTGCATAAAGATCAGCTGCAAAAAGGTGACCTTGTGATTTTCGCGGAAAATTAAATTTTCTGTAGATTATATTTTTCATTTAACAAAATCTAATCTTTAAAATTTTCGAATCAAAAAATATGCTGATTTCTCGTGAATTTACATGACATCCTGATCTGTAGAGGTTACACCTTTTTGCAAATCGCTATAAAAATGTTTGCAGTTTAATTCAATATACGATAGGTATTAGGTAGTGATGGACGTTTGCGAATCGCTTCAATATTCCACGCGAGACGCGCATCACGCGCGTGATCCGCGCGTGCTGCGGCTGCCTCAAATTTCCTTTTAAATAATTTCAGATTTACTAATTTCTTCCTCGTGTAATGTTAAACGAAGTTTCAATTTCAAACGGCTTTATGGGGATACAAAATTTCTCGCGTTGGTGCAACACCATTTAAAAAATTTCGTTGACCAATAAATTTTGAGAACCGGTGTGACGTAGAAAAAACGCGAAAAATGAAAAGAAATTCAAAACAATTCACAAATCATTCGTAGCTTTCGTAAAATCATAGAAATTGCAAAGTTATACGTAAAAAATTTATATATAATTTAAACGAGAAAAAAATTTCATATTCAAAGATGTTAATTACTTAATTATTTTATTATTAATAAATAAATATAATACAATAAAAAACAATGTTTTTTTTATTTTATTATTAATAAATAAATATACAACGGTTGAATTTTTTAAATATTAAACTATGTACTATATTAACTATTAACAAACCATAATAATTTTTTTTGTTTTTTTTTTGACATTTTGTAAGACAATTTTTTTTTCGTTTTTTTTTCCTTTTTTCGTTTTTTTTTTCTTCCTTTTTTTTTTTTTTTACAACTACAAAATATCAAATATTAAATATCCGTATTTTTTTTAAAAAAACTAACCATCAAATAAATAAATAAATAAATGTCCTTTTTTTTTAAAATTTAACATTTAATGTAAAGATTTTTGGTTTTAAAATTTTTCTAAATTCGGCTCTCGTCTCTTGATTTTCGATTTGATTAGACGTTAAATCTACTCTTCGAAGAGATACATTATTTAATAATGCCTTAGCTATAATTTCTATTTCTTTAATACTATTTCTACTCAAATCCAAATCGGTAAGTCTCTTGTTCACCTCTAAAGCTTCAAATAAAGGTTTTCCGATCTCAGGTTCATCCATAGTTCTACTTATATATAGATGAGTAAGCGTATTATTTATTTTTAAAGCATTCGCCAAAGCTTCTATATCATCTGAAAAGAAATCTCTATCACTTATATTCAATTTGATGAGCGACCTATTTGTCTCTAAAGCTTTTAACAAATTACTCATTGAACAAGAATTGTTACTTAGATCTAGATCAGAGAGTGTATCATTTGTTCGTAAAGCATTTTCCAACGCATTTACTACATTAATACGAATATTACAGCTACTTAAATTTAATGTTTTTAGTGTTTTATTTTTTTCTAAAGACTTTGTTAATTCTCGTCCTATTTGTCCTGCTCCTGTAATAGCGCTTAGATCCAAATTCCTTAAAGTCGTATTTTCTTCTAAAGCTTCTATTAAAGCTACCATCGCATCACCATTAATTTCATTACGACTTAAATTTAAATATCGGAGCTTGACTTTATTCGACTTTAAATCTTGTGATAAAGTCTTTACCATTTCAGAGCTAATCTTTGTCGATTTTAAACTTTTACCGGTAATATTATTGTTTGATAAAATAGTCATTAAAAATTCACCTAATTCATGAACAATATCATTATCGTTTAAGTTCAAATCAGTGATGAATTTATTGTTCGTTAAAGCTCTTGCTAAATTTCTTCCTGCTTCGAGACGGATGTAATTACAACTTAAATCCAATTTCTTAAGAGTTTTATTTTTCTTTATCGCTTCCGCCAAATTATTTACTTTTAGAGCTCGGGCCATGTCGTATCTATACTTATACTGCGACGTTACTCTGCCTGTTAAAGATGTTTTTGAATCTCTATCTAAAGATTCTATTGTCGAGCTAATCTTATTTGTACTCAAGTTTAAAACTCGAAGAGTTTTATTTTTTGCCAAGATTTCTGAAATTATGCGTTCTGATTGGAAAGCGAGATTATTTGAACTAAGGTTTAACGATTTAAGATTCTTTGAAGTTATTAAGAATTTTCTTAATCTTTCAACCGTTTTAGGAGTAAGATTACAACTGCTCAAATCTAAATTCTCGAGACATTTGTTACTTTCCAAAGGAGTAAAGCTTACATCGGACCAATCAAAAGGATTTTCACTTAAGTTTAAGGTGATAAGAGACGTATTTTTTCCTAAAGCTTCTATCAACGCTTTTCCTTTTTTAGTGAATTTTTCACTGTTACTGCTTAAATTCAATTCAACAAGACGGGTTTTATTGGCTCTTATCATCTGGATTACTATATCAGGTTCAATACACGTCGCTTTTAAGTTTAATCGAGTGAGAAATTCATTACTTTCTAAAACCATCCTGAGTTGTTTTGCCAATCCCACACCGATATTATTATAACTTATATCTAAGCTGGTATAAGTTTTATTTGTTTTTAAAACTTCTATCAGCTCTTTACCCGTTTCAGTATCAAGTTTCTTGTAGCTTAAATTTAATTCACTATTATCAGAGCTTGAATAATCACCATGAACGTTTTGACCTATTCCTGCCAAATTTGTTTCGTCATCTTCATCCAATAGAAGAACGCACCAATGAAGTTCAGGAACCTTTACACAATAATCTTCTTCTTCAATTTCATCTAGAGATTCATTCTCAGTTTTTCGAACACTGATATTAACATGAATCGTTTTATCACGATAATCTTTAACTTTTGCAATAAAGTATTGATTGTAATCCGATTTAGGGTATTTGAATGTGGTAATGAGAATTGCACTTGATTGTAAAATTTCCGAAGTTTTTAATTGAATATCACAAGTTTCTATTCCCGTAGCATCTTTTACTGGTGCTTTCGGAGTAAATGTACGCTTATTAAAATACGCAATAGGGATACTTCGTGTATTCGATTCAAAAATACCAACTTCGGATGGTATTCCTATTAATGCCCAAGTTATTTGCAAATTCAAATCATCGAGCTTATCATCACTGAATAAAAATTTAAAAAATTATAAAAAAATAATTAACGATATGATAAAGAAAAAAAAAATCAAATATGATTAAAAACTTTAAAACTTACGAAAAGATTTCAATTATCGCCGAAAATCCAGATTTATCTTTAGATATAAAATTGACGTCAGCATTTTCAAATTGAGTACCATCCTGTTTCAAGACTTTACCGAAAATTTTATAATTTGTTGATTCTAAAGAAGAATCAAAGTTCACACGATATTTAAATTGTGAACTTTTAATCGGTATTACACCAGATTTAAGAACTTTCTCTTTAACTCCGCTACTGATCGTTTGTTCATCATTTCCAAGACATAATTTGACTTCTTGACATAAATGTGAATTTAATATTTCGTATAAAGGATATAAACCTTCCCAACTGATAATTTTCAATGAATCGGGACTCTTTTTTAAGCAAGAAATTGCCCATTCTTTAATACAATTTCTCTTAACCACATCACCATTAATTGAAGTTAAAGATGATGGATCAATATTATAAGATTTTACGTATTTGTCCCATTGATTGATAATATCTTTGTAATCATTACATTTTGTTGAAAAATCATCGGCCGTTTTAAATTCTTTATTGATTGATCTTGGCTCTGGCGATTTTGGATTTAAACTTGATAATTTCGATATTGAATATAATTTATCACCAAGAATAACTTTACTAGGTAAGAAATGTCCAAATTTTTCGAATACTTTTATCAATTCTCGATAAAGATTTTTATTATCCAGAGCATTTTGAATTGCACTGGTAAATTCTTTGGATGGTTTTATAGAACCTTTCTCAAAACTGACTTCAGCTTTTGGATATTTTATTTCCAAATAAACAGAATCCACTTGCGATATGTTATTTAGAGTGTCAACATCAGATATCCAATTAAGTTCCAGCTTAGTTGATTCGATATGATTCTCTAATAAAAAGGTTGATGAATGCATTAATTTTGCTTTAAATTTTATAGTATCTAAAATTTTCATTTTTGGTTTTGACGTAAAGGCACATGTTAAAGCTGCAGTCAATAATTTTTTCTCAGTGTTGACAATCAATGCATGATATAATTCTTCACTTATTGAACTTGGTACTTCTTGTAAATTTTGTGAACTTGGAGTCTCTAATGATTTTATTTTCTTATTCTCTGATGGTATTGGATCATCATCGGCTTCTTCTGATGGTTCATCATTGTCGTTATCGTTATCGTTATCTTCGTTATCATTATAGTCATTTTCACAGATGTCTGATGGTTCATTTTCATTCTCATCTGATAATTCTGATGATTTAAGTGATATACTCGACTGTCTTGATTGTTTAGTTTCATATACATCGTCGAACGACACACTTGACGGTCTTGATCTAATTACATCATCGAATGACATACTCGACGGTCTTGATTTAGAATCATCGAATGATATACTTGTTTGCCTCGATGGTTTATTTCCATTTACATCGGTTGTTTCCATTAAATCTGGAGTTTCGAATGACATACTCGATGGTCTTGATTGTTTAGTTCCATTTACATCGTTTGTTTCGATTAAATCTAAAGTTTCATTTGGTTCCTCGATAGTTTCAGTTTTTATTGAATTCAAAGGTTCATCGGATGTTTCTATCACTTCATCATATTTTATTAAATTCGAAGCATTATTTGTTGTTTCATTCACTTCAATAGTTTTTATTAAATTTGAAGTTTTAATTGGTGATTTAATCACAACATCAGCTTTTGGTGGTTCAATCACAATTTCAGGACTTATTAAATACGAAGTATTACTTGGTGATGATGAATAATACTCATTGGATGATTCAATCTTGTACGACTCTGGAAAATCCATTTCAAGTGGTGTTGCTGTAAAATATGTATATGATTCTTTAACAGGTTCCAAACGAGGAGTTAAAATTGATGAAGGTCTAGATTTTCTAGATTCTCTTGGAGACAAAATTCTAGAGAATCCTGGAGAATCTGGAATTGTATGTTTATCGGGCCTGGATTCATTATCCTTGGATCTTAATAAAAGTTGATGTGGCTGCCTGTAAGGTTTAACCGGAACTGAAGCAGCCCTAGTACGTATATGTGAACGTTGATCGAGTTGATCAGATGAATGAACAGAACCTGAATTATTTCTCTTAGGTTTGGTAAAGTCAGCTTCAATACTAGATAATCTTAATAGAATGTCATCCATTCTAATCCTTTTTTCTGGGTTAACAACCCAACCTATTATTTTCGTAAAGGATTTATATTAGTACAAAAATCATGAACAGAAAAAGATTTTTTAAAAATAATAATTGATAACAATTACCTTCAGCAACGATTCTTAAGTATTTATTTTGAATATTAAGAAATTCCAATGTATAAAAAGGTGGTTCAGGAGATTCTCTACGACCATTTGTAACATGAGTAACAATTTCTTCTGTACTCATTTTTTCATAGGGAACCCTTTGGAAAGCTAGTTCCCATAAAAGCATTACGTAACTAAACAAATTAAAAATGTATACAATTATTAACGTAACCATTAACGTTGACATAATTGACATAACTGAAATTGCTACAATAAGAAAGGTCTTTTGAATAGATACCTGTAAATTTCACATTCGTGTGTATATATGGCATTATTTTGCATCATTTCAGGTGCATACCAATTAATAATTCTCAAGATATAATCCGAGATAACACCATCTTCATTATCATGTCCTATCTCTGTCACATGTTTGGCAAGATAAAAATTAGTGATCTTTGGTTCCATATAGTGAGTCATCTACGATAATAGATAAATAAAGATTAATAAAGATTAACAAAGATTAACGTTAATAAATTATAGTTAACAAACATGATTTAAAAAAAAAAAAGATTTACCATTATATTCTCACATCGAACATCACGATGAAAAATATCAGCGTGACTTAAAAATAATAATCCTTGACAAATGTCTCGTGCTATTTTTACTTTTAATTCCCAAGGAATCTTCTTCTTTTCGTAAACAGTCTTTAAATTACCCAAGCTTGCCCACTCAAATACCAACACATCATCATCATCAACTTTTGAAAGTCCATAAAATTTAAGGATATTACGACTTTCATCAAATCTTTTTAATTCACTCAAAATTGAAACGTTTTGATCGATAATAGTAATGGGTTCACATGACACTTCCACACCACGTTTATAAATCTTCTTTACATTATGTTTCGATTGTAAATCGTCATCTAGATCGTATAATGATCTCCCATCAGGATCGTTTTCGAAATTTAATTTCGAATCACCTACAATAGGAGGATCAAATAATAACGCAGAATCGATACGTGGTACACTGATTTCTAAATCCGATCTTTCGACCAAGTTTTGAATTATTTCTTCAATTCTAATTATATGATCATTTTTATTATTATTAGGAATAGTTTTTAAAATCTATTATACGTAATAAAAAAAATTTTTTTATTAGATAACAAAGTAGAAACACAAATCACAAATCATAAAATATAATAAATATACGGTACCTCATGAACATTTTTAAAATCTTCTTGTTGACTTTCTTGTTTATTCATTATTACTTTAATCAGAATTGGATTTAATTTTTTTTCACAATTCTCATGTTCTTTTAATAATTTTTCATATTTCTCTTTTACATGCCTATAAGGATAAAAGAGATAATGACTTTTTTCTATATTCGCTATTTCTTTCGCAAATTCTTTTATATTTTCTAAGGAAATTTTATATTTATTAAAAGCATCTTCATATTGCTGAAAATATAATTCAACTTCATTTTTTACATAATGTAAAGCTCGTACAGTTTCTGAAGAAGAATGAATAATTGGGTCAAAGATTTTTTTACTTCTTTTAAGGTTTATGATGATATGTTTTATTTCATCAATCAACCTATAACTTGCTTCGACACAAGAAACGCTATCGATTTGTTGATTTGCCATAGCAAGAATTACTGAAATGAACAAGAGTTACAAGAATTAATGAAATGAACCAAAAATTAAAGTTTTTTTTAAAATAATAAACAGTAGTAGTAGTATATAGTTGGGATATTAGAATAAGCGAAATTCATAAAGCGAAAAATTTTAAAAAATTTCAGTATAAAAATCAAACTCCTTTAAATATGCATAAGTGGAAAAAAGGATGTAGGATGTATGCGATTAACACTCCTTTATTTATCTTTGTTTACTAATACAAGGTCATAGGTTACATCCTAGTGATGCTCTGTTTTGAAACCCAAATCCAACATATTAAATATAATAGTATATCCCAAGATGAATGAATACATACCTTCGCCTAGGATTAAATAAGGTTGTTTCACAATTAAATTATTCATATTGTTTTGGAACAGTACCAATATATAAAAAAGTTCAGCGATGGCAAAGATGAGCATATAGCAAAATTTATGAAACAAAAAATTTTATTACAGTATAATGAGAACTGAATTAATTGAGGCTATGTTCGACACTTACTATCTAAATCTGGGCACAATTGATATTCTAATTGATAAAATCTTTTCTAAGCAGTAACGTTTTTTTCAAAATAATATTATACAGTATATAGTATATAATAATTAAAATATATATATAGTATAAAATATATATATAGTACGTATATAATTATTACCAAAATTTATATTGATTAATAAAAATTTATATTGGTTGATAAAAATAATAATAAAGTTTTATTTAAAATGGTAAGTACCCAGAGTTGAAATGCGTGAAATGCAGCAATGATATATGTACGGTACGTCAAATTTCGTAATTTTAATTGGAGGCAATATTACTTATCTAAATTTCAGTCAAGTACCTTACTACATTTAGATTAATAATATAACATACTACACATAATGGCATTTTAAATTGAAAGGGGTACGTATTAATATTACTAACGTATAATATTTAATTTCTGCACTCTAATCTAAATACTTGGCACTATTCCAAATTTATAACTCATAATAACAAATACTATATTGATCTTATATAAAAATAGTCTAAAATCTTTTTTTTAAATCTGTTTAATATATTTTAAATTATTCATCTCATCTTGTGTATGTCTAGGTATGACGTAAATACTTATGTATGTTCATTACGTATAGGTACGTACATACGCACGTACGTATGTACGTACGTACGTACTGTACGTACATATATACTACTATTAACCATATGATAAGTTTACTGCAATCGATTTTTTCAAATAATAGATCATAATAATATTATACTTGATTATTATATAAAATCATAGTGATAGACTTTATGTATTTTATATAATTTTATATAAAGATGTATAGATAAGGTACGTACGCCACTCATGAATGAACCACCAAATTTTTTGTTATTTTTTTGTTATTTTTTAAAAGTTCCACTTGTCCATTAACTCTTGGATAGGTTAACTCGGCTTAGAAAAAAAATAATTGGTGTGAAACGTAAATAAAACTAGATAACAAAAGGCTATTATTGTCACTACTAAATTTGGGTGAATTCTTATTTTTAATCCTGTTTAATCAGTTCCACAAAGTTACTAAAAAAAATTGTTTGATTGGTATCGTATCCGTTCGGATGTGTATAGCCCTTCTTGTTAAGTAGTCTTCATTAAGAAATTTTTAAAGGTACGTACGTACGTACTACAGTACTATATGCTATAGGTTTGGTGTTATGCAATGCACATGCATAACGTAGGGAAAAAAATAAAATAAAATGCGTTCGCATATTGGTTTACAACAATAACCGATAAGTGATTCACAGGAGTTCATGTTTAACTATTATTACACACACACACATATATATATATATATATATATATTATATATATTATAAAAAGTTTTTCCTAAACTTAGCGTTATATTAGTTAGAACGCTAAAAACTTTTTTACTGCTATAACGATAAACACCAATTATTTCGACCCATTTTTGAAAATTAGCATATCGGACATATGCACGTATGTACTTAACTAGTGAATTTCATCTCCGGTGGGCGTCAAACATTTTCTCCAAAAAAAAAAAACAAACATTGCGTTTTATAATTCGGTAGATTTAATATGTTTTTTCCGACGAATAGAAAAGTTTTAATTTGAATTTTTTTTATTTAGCGTTAGTATAAAGAATTCTTTATTCTCAAGATTCTGGAATACAAACGGGTATAAGTTATTTTTTGTTTTTATAATGCTGTATAAATAATACTGTAGGTTACACGTACAAATTAAGTAACACCATTGATTGATACAACACTATCATTATAGTAAATAAAAAATCGTCCGACTTACTAAATTTTAAAGGGGCACTATTTGCTGATTTGTTACATTCACAACCGTTTTACTCAATCTAGATATGCGATCCGGATATCCTCCAGTTTTATTATTTTTAAAATTTTCACATCAAATTTATTAGCGTTAGAAATTGAAACAGTATCCGGATATTTGGATATCCTTAAATTTTAATTAGGAAAACGGATATCAGATCGTATCATTAGAATCTATACGTTAAAACATTGTAATTTATCATGGTCTGTAACACTCATCCCCCCTGATAGTTAAGGTTGCTTGATTTAGGGTTAACGCTTGCTTGATTTAGAATAATAGAAAAACATAACCCCCGTTGTGTGTCAGATTAAAATATTAAATACTAAATAAGGATTACTACGCAACACGCGGTATTGTGCAGGAGTAATCAGAAGCGCGACAGTGCATTGCATTTGTCTGTAAACTGATTATAGAAATAATTTAGAGTTGTTTGAAATTTTATTATTTTTAGATGTTGCGAAATTATTTTCGAACTTGGAATATTTACGTCCGTATGTACTTACGTGCGTACGAATCTCGAACTGTTTATTTTAAATATATACGTACGTACATACGTACGTATGTATGTATGTGCGATGATAATTTTACACTCACTAAATTAATGCATTGAAATGAGTTTCTGTATTATTAATATTATTAATATTATTAATACTAAGTACAGTACGTCCGTACGTACGTTGTCAAGCGTAATATTTTCTTGCTAAATTATTGCGATGAAAATCGATGAGAATTATGTAATGATGAAAGTTTTGTGTTAATATACAGTGCATTAAATGGTTATTTAAGTATGTTTACGAATTAATAAACAATGCTAAACTAATGATTTAATGTGATGAATGAAATACGAAATCGTGCATTAGTCATTATTAAGAAAAAATTATTATCTACCAAATTATCATAATAAACATGAATGACTCATTGTAAATACATTGATGAATCAATGACATTGATACGCACGGGACATACATACATACCAATGAAATAAGTGATAGTCTGTATATTAATAACAATCTTTACTCACCTGAAATATTGCGGTGTGGTATTATGTAATGATGAGCAATAGTAAACATGAATGGTTTTATTATAAGTCGATAAATTAACGATCTTTTATTATAATGCAATGAATTAAGTATTAACGTTAATTCATCTTCTTAAATGTAGCTATCAAAAACAAGAACACATGATTGGTGTGGTATACTTAATCTGAAGTTCAAACCTTTCGTAATGTGTTACAATCGGAATTCGCAAGTTCGTAATAATTTAATTTAATTATGTCATAGTACAGTAAATATAGTATATTTTTTTGGTTATTGTTTCTAAAGGCACGAAATATTTTTTTATAATTCCCAATTTTTAAAATAGAATCTATAATAACAATTAAAAATTATTAATTAAATTAAATCAAATTAAAAATATCTTAATAATAATAATCAAATTTAATAAAAATAAAAATATCTTGTTAGTACATATTTAATCAAATTTTATTAGAGGTGTTAAAAGCTTTATTTAGTTTAACTTTAAACCGTTTGAAATTCAGGGCAAATTTGCCCTGAATTTTACTTAAAAATACTTCTAATCTATTTTTTAAAAAATTTGATATATTTAATTAAATTTTTTTTTAAATAAAAAAGTAAGGATTATGTTATTGCAAAACTTATATTTAAACTACAAGATAAAAAATTTAATTTACTTATAGGCTTAAAATAACAAAATTTAAAAAAATTTTTAATTAAAAAAAATTTTACAATCATTTGAAAATTTTTTAAATATTAATTTTAAACCAAAAGAATGACAACTTTTGTTATTACAACTTTTATGATTCATTTGTAAAAATTAAGACTTATATTAGTAGTAAAAATTTTTTTCATTAATAAAAACATATAAAATTTTAAAATTTTAAAGAAAATCTTATAGTAAAAAGTTCAAAATAAAAACTTTAAAATTTTATTCCTTCTAAGTTTTTTAATAAATTTAAAAAAATTTCTTAATAAAGTTATTAGAATATATTTAAAAAAAATATTTTTTATTTAAAAAGTATATAGTTAAAATTAATATTTAAATTTTATTTTAAAAATAAAATTTTAAAAAAATTTCAAGGCAAATTTGGTTTAAGGGATAAGTTTGAATTAGTAGTTAAAAGAGTTGTTTTAAGTTTGGTTATGCATATTATATAATATATATATAGGAGTTTGCTATTTACTACCACTGGTAATCATCACCAGTGTTGCTATATCTCAAAAACATACTAAGTAAACAGGATTGGGTCTTCTAAGTAAAAATGTTCAGGATCTCCAAAAACCTTATAAAAACTAAAATCAGACCTTATATTATATAAAAAAAAATAATTCTCTAATTTCTAACTCTAACCCTAACAAATTTTAGAACTGGTGATAATCACTACTTAGTAATTTTGATAAATAAATATATATATATATATATATAACAACCTTTATTTAGGTCCACTAGTTCTATAGATATCTCTATATTTTCATATACTTCCAGTAAGTCAAAATCAATTTCTTGGTTAGCTAATTCTTTCTCCTCAAAGTTTAAAGAATCTTCAATTAAATTTTCTCTTTCACCAGAAAATAAGTTACTTTCAATAATAGGGTATTGTAATTTCCTCTTTTCTTCAACTGCCTTT